AGGACATGTTGTCCGGTAGTATTTTCATGGGAAGCTAACTTATTTTGAAGTCAAAACATATTTTATTATACTACAAATGTAAACTTTAACGCTTAGAAGTCTATATAAAAATTTATGAATAATTATTTTGGACCAGAGGGGGTATACATTTATTAAATATTGGAAATTACTAAACACTTTTTACGCCACAGTAAGTAAACATGTCTTCAGATGCTAGCATTTACTTGTTGTGACACGGAACGCGGAACCTGAGTCAATACAGCAGAAGCACAGTTGTGGCACGGCACGGAATGTAGAGAAGAGCAGAATACGGCTCTGTTATGATAAGAACACAGTTACAGTGTGATCAATAACGGAATCCGTAATTGCTGGTTACACAAGACCCTAATGTGCCTAACTATTCATGCTGGCTATAAATAACGAGGGCCGCGAGCAAAGTTAGAGGTTTCGGATCATCTACCTTTAATGTTGTCATTATACTAAATTCGTATTAACGTTTCTCTATTCTTGTATGAAACTTGTCAGGCAATTGATGGAAGCTGATATATGAGACGCTGCAACATCATTTGCTTGTGAATAGCAGAGGTAGTACATTACATGATGTCACACCTATAAAATAGTAGGCGCGAGCGGCGCAAAAGGTAAGGATTATTTAGCGTTTTCTACCTCTGAATTTGTGATACCAGAACAATTGCTTAGGCAAAAAAATGCCAAAAATATTGGTGCGCCCCGTGTGGGTGTCGAACCCACGACAGTTCGGTTAAAAGCCGAACGCTCTACCACTGAGCTAACGGGGCTAGATCTGATCGTGGTGATTTCGAGCAGATATCGAAGCTAATTCACCGTTCTGACAACAGTTCATTAGGTGCGTATATGAGGCCTACGCATTCTTTTTAGCCAAAGAGCCACTTTATTTGTGACTTTAGGATGTTGCAGGACCCGGTGCCGGAGGGGGGCGGGCCGGTCCCGAGCCTATGCAGGTAGAGGACCTGATCCCACGTCTGTCGGATTCCCCGGCATGGATCACGACTATGTAATACATGATCGATAATTGGATAAGCAATTAGCTGACACCAATAATGCATTGGTTTATTACCGGGCCCGTTTTTCCCTCTGTGCTTTCGCTGCGACGTCCCCTTGCGCTCGCCCATTCCGTAACAAGGATAAATAGAAAACAATCGGGGTATTCAATATGCCAATTTTATTTTATTGGCACAAACAGAAATAGATCAAAAACATGGAGACACCCCAGCCAAATCGGCGAAAAATAAAATTGCACCAAAAAGGTACTTTTTAACAGATTATTTCCAAACAATTGTGGTATTGCTGAACCATCACCGAGTCACAGAGCCGGAGCTGAGAAATATCGGAACCGCTCAGGACAATAAACGAGGGGCAATAGACAAGAATAGTTCTTTTAGTTAGTAAACTAGTCGCTAGAACGAAATACAAGTAGTATCGCAAACGTCAACAGATCGGTGTAGTCAAGAACACATCACCGCCCGATCACAGCCCCTGCCTCACAATTGCCTGCTGAAAAGCAAAAAAATATAATCACTGCAAAATACCCACCGCAAGTTTCGTGTATATCTCTGGTCTGCGTTAATTGTATACTTTCTATTTTTTAATTTTCTAAATTATGTAGCCAGCACTTGTTCGGTACACAGCAGAACGGCTAGTACACAGCAAATCGGCCAATATGTGGCAAGTCAGTTGCTGATTGATATACATTAAATCGGCAGCTAGTACGCGGAACTGTTGCAGCACCATTGCAATACAGGCAGCATCATTGCGGCCAATATGCGGCTTGTTTAGCAAATCTTAAATCTGCAAATGTACTAACTGGAGCTAGTTTTTAAGCTCGCAGATGTTAAACAACTTGTGAAATGGTTTTTGAACGTTTTCTTAGTATAAATACTTATCTCAGTATTTACATGTCGCAGAATAGCAGAGTGGGTCACGCTCCCAGCAAGGCTGAAACTGTCGCTGCTGGCCTGGGACAGATCGAAGAAATACAATCACAATCATCGGATGCTCCATTAATGTAATTACAATAATATCCATATATTCTCGGGTATTTATCTGTCACCTGAGTTTATATCATGGTGAGTCTGTTTTTCCTTTGTGTGCGCCTGCTCTATGCCACATTTGGCATATAAAAGAATAGTTTTTATAGCCATATTTAGCTTTTTCTTTAATGAAAATCCTCCTCTTTTATTTTAACTAATAGTTTTTGCACGGCCTCCTTGCCTGTGCTTTATATTTAGACACCACATATTTGCGTGTTTTTGTAACTGGAAAATCGAAGATAACTGCAAACGTGCCGAACGTGCCAACTAACACTGCCAATGCTGGATATCTCATTCCGGATGGTGCCGGCAACGACGACGGTGGCATTTTGACTCGTCATAATCCACTGCCACCAGGGCACATACAGCAGGCCGCGCAGGTTAGTGATGTTCCCGATTTTTCAGTTTTTTCTCACAATATTCGTGGAACTGGCGTTAGTAATCGAGGGTACAGAACTGCCAGCGGGCCGCAAAACGAAGAGCTACGTTTTCGCGAAGCCAAATTCCACGTATCCAAGCTTGCGGTGCTGTACGATGCTCTTGGCAAACGGGCATGTCCGCCAAACACATATCATGATATAGCATGTATTCAGGAATTCCGAACGGTGGTTCCTCCACAGATTATACTGCGGATGCGCTGCCCCGAATATTCGGTATTTGCCGGTTCTCCTCGCGTTGAAGGCGGGCACTATGATACGGTTGTTTTAGTCAAAAATAGTTTTGGCGAGGCACAGCTGGAAGTTGAAGCCAGCTGTAAGCGCGCAACTTTTGTTACAATCCCAGATTTTGGATTGCTTGTCGTCTCGATTCATGGTCCATTTGACGGTATGCGTGCCTTTCACCGGGATGTCATTTTGACGGTCGCGCGGTATAAAGAGGCGGGCTGGACGCCGATTGTCGGTGGCGACTTTAATATTGCGCCTACGCTAGCTGACCGCTGCACTCCTACTGGGCGCGACGAGCAAGGAATTATGTCTCTATACACAGAAACGCTTGAGCTGAGCAACGTGTGTGAGGCACTGACGGATCTGGCAAATCCGAGCTCGACAACTGACCGGAGCACTTTCTTTACGTTTTGAAGAAAAGATGGCGACGATTATGTGTTTGTTTCTCGGATTGATCACATCTTGGTTCCACCGCATCTGCTAGATGTGGGGCGTGCGTCATATGGCCACATCGATGTCGACAAGGATTTCTCCGATCATAAGCGGATTACAGTCTACGCGCCTCAAACACAGCCTGGAGAGTTCTTCTCTGTGCCATTCTGTATGTCGCACGATTTTCTGGCAGATCCGGTACATCTGGCCAAGATTGAGCAGATTCTGCGCGAATTCAACTTTTCGCTCACTGGTGCCGCAGCATTTGAGAAATACAAAAAGTTGCTTGGCGACATTTTGAAATACGCGCGCAATCAGAACAAGCGGCAGCAGAACAATTTCGAGCATAAAATTAACTCACTTCGCAAGAAGCGGGCGCAACGAGCAATGCGGCAAAGGATGGTCAATCTATCAGAACGAAATTCGCGTATTTGAAGAGCAGGCGATTGCGCTGGTCAAACGCGCGTCAATAACTGTTCAGGAGCGTGTGGCCACGGATTGGCTCAAGTACCGCAATTGTGACTTGTTCTGGCAGTCTCTAACCACGAAAAGACAGTTCCATCCGCGGTGCAAACAAGCAATTACTGCTCTGGAGTACAGCTTGCCTGCAGGGTTTTCCACGGCCGATCGCGATCCAGGCACTGTTCATCCGCCTGGTTCTTCCTCACAGCACCCGTCTGCTCAACGACCGACGCGCGCGGCAATATTACACGGGGGCATTATTTCAACTGCGGCAGGCTTATGCGAGGCGATTGAGTATTATTTTGGTACGAAGTACGCGCACGGCGAGCTATTACCGGAAAGTTTGCGCAGACTGCTCGATTCGCTGGAACGGCGGATTCGCGAACGGAATTGCGGCGTAACTGATGCTGAGCGAGCGGCCATGTCATCGGTTTTTGAACTTGTCGACATTGCAATTGCTTGCTCAAAAGCAGCACGCCTTAAGGCCGCAGGGCCCAACGGTATTCCTGCCGAGCTGTACATCCAGTCCAAGACCGCGCAAAAGATATTGCGCCATTTGGGCAACATCTGGCTGCGCGATCCGACGTCTGTCCCTGCGTTCTTTGTCGAGGGGTTCATCATGCTTCTTCACAAAAAGGGTGACCGGACGCTGTTGGACAATTATCGTTCGATAAGCATTTTAAACGCGGACTTGAAGATTCTCACTTCGATAGTCGCAGAGAGAATTGGTAATTTGGTAAGTCGCGCTGTAGCTCCTGAACAATTCGCAGTTATTCCTGGGCGTCATATGGTGGACGGCATTTATAAAGTCCAGGCGATCGCTAAGTATCTCGAGCTGAAGCAGCATCAAGGCGCTATGGTCTTTCTGGACCAGGAAAAGGCATGCGATCGGATTTCGCATACTGCGTTGTTCGCCGTTCTCGACAAAATCGGCATTCCGGCCAACTATATTGCTGCGATTAGAGCGCTATACAGCATATCGTCCTCACGCGTTTTGGTAAATGGAAAGCCGTCGGGTGCCATTCCGATCCGCCGCGGAGTGCGACAGGGCGATGCGCTGAGCCGTGTTTTATTTGTAATTGCTGCGGAATTGCTGGGATGTGCAATTCGCGACAATTTGCCAACCACAGCACGTTTATTGATCCCGGGCGCGGACTGCAGCCACGTTCAGTACATGGATAACACAGCCGTGATGCTTAGTTCGCTGAAGTATTGGCCCAACTTGAAGCGTGGCCTCGAGTTATATTGCGAAGCAACGGCGGCGAGTTTCAATATGCCAAACACCAAAATTGTGCCCTTTTCGCACGATTCCTACGAGATTCCGAGCAATTTGCCTATGACGCCAGTTGCTGAAGGTGTACCGGTTCACTATCTCGGCGCTATAATTGGTTGGAATGTTCAGCCGTCAACGCGCAAAGCTCTGCGCAAAGAACTTGTTTTAAAAACAATTACCGCTGGTCGACAAGCGGTACAAGCTCATGGCACAATCGAGGGGCGCGCGTACGCGATCTTGACATTTATCCTCCCACGTTTCTCGTTCATGTTCCAGGTTGAGGACTTTACGCTCGGCCAAATCGCAAGCGCAGATGCCATTCTACAACAGATGTTGTGGGAGCCAATCACCCCGTTTTTAAAGCCAACACTCGTGGCACAGCCAGCGCGCATGGGCGGCTATGGCATGCCGACATTAGGCGCCTTTTTCAGAGCGGCCAAGCTCAAAATGATGGCGCGCTATGCAGCACATATTCGCCGTATTACGGATATCGATCTGTCACGCACAGTTCGCCACCCAATCCCCGAGTGGCCCGCGATGCTGTTGGAATTGTGGCAGTACCACATATTTTATAGAGCGCGATATACGCCGAAATCAATTTGCAGATTTGTCAGCAGTTACAGCGCACAGCTATTCTACGACCCGCTTGTACAACACACTGGTTTTGCACATGCGGCAGGCAAGGTATGGCCACCGACTTGGAACGATGCGTACAAATTGTTGCACTCTAAAGCCGGCACCAGACCAGGTGAAAACATTAATTTGCTGCGGGAAGTGACATGTAGGCCAGGAGGAAACGCGCTTGCACGGCCATTGCTAATGACCGGCCATTTTGCGGTGGACGGCCCTCCTATGTGGAATTCACTTGCATTGGCACTGCAATATATGATCGAGTC